TTCAAAGGACACCAATGGGAGAAAAGTTTCCTGCAGCCACCAGGAGTGAGCATGGATGCTCCACCTGGGCTTTTGCACACTCTCCAGCTGGTTTGTGTGGAAGGGCTCCTTTCCTGGCCCTACTGCCTCTTGTGCCAGACCAGAGGTGGTTCTGTGCTTCCCAGCACCAGTGCTTGAGGTTTAACACCAGTGACAGGAACTGGTGCTGCTGGTGCAGCTCCAAGGCTTGCAGTGCTCTTTTACAGTACCCAGGCAAATGGATTTAGTAGTCAGGGAAGGGAGGAGTTAAAAGGAAAGAGTTTAGTTCTACTTTCTCCATGTTTCATCCCATGTTGGTATTGGGCATAAAAGAAGCAGCATGGCTAAGCCCCACAGACAGAATGTTCCCTTTTTTTCAGTGATTCTCTAGCTTTTAGTGGAAAGGAAAAAATCAAGACACACAAGATTATTGTGCTATGGATTTATAATATCATTTTATTAATATATTATGCTACAAAAATATTTTGATAAAATAATATTAGAAAGCATCTTTTTATTACACTCTTCAAAACAGTTCACAAAAGCAGGAGGCAGAACAGGAAAAATATCTGAAATACATCTGAATTTAAAACTGACAAATATGCAATTTGGATTTTGGTGTGAGCATGAATCTGCAGGATGGTTAATCAGTCCTGTAGAAGGAAAGTATTGCCTACTTATTGCAAAGACCTCTCTGCCTTTAGCTAGATTAAGGTGCCTCCTGAAATGTTAGTCACAGAAAAGGCTGAATTTGGGTTGGGACAGAACACAGACAACATCCACACGTAAATGTACACACACACACACACACACACACACACCCCACTCAGCCACCCTATGATTTCAAACTTCAGCAAATTATCTTTCTGCTTCAGTTAAGCTGAAACATGCTTAAATTGAAGCTGAGTTTTAGCATACTCCATGGAACATTGATCACTTCAGAGATATGACAACACCATATAATTTTTGGATATAATACAGCAATACGGTACTAAGCAAAGTTTGGCATGGTAACACTTATGCTGAGATAATAACTTTGGCACTTTGGTTTCTCTAAGATAAATATATGATGGGAAATTCCTCCCTAACAGTGGTATATGGTAATGACTGAGTCATATCATTTGACTAATCAATGCACTAAACATAGATTAAGTTCTCCCTCTTTCCATCTCTCTCTTTCTCCACAATTGTATATTGAAGAACTTAGATAAATATACAACTCTGTACCTTGGGTGTTCCTAAATTACAGTGGAGCTTGGAGGAATGGGAAGGGAAGTTGAACAAAGCAGATTTTTGACACCTGTAGAAAGCATAGTTATCATAAATCATGTTCATAATTTATTGCCAGAAGACATATTGCATTATTCAACAGCTCGAGGGATTGAAGTGAAACTACATCAGTCATAAAATAGAAAATACCTTCTGTCCCAGCTTACTGACTGGTTCTTCAAGTGGCAGTGCATGTTAATATAGTATCTGTAGTTAAGCAAGAAAAGCATTAAAACACTGAAAGAAGAGAGATTAGATTTGTTGCTAGTGATATGAGATAATTTATTCCACCAGGGCAAGATCTTGGCAGATACTCAACAATTGTTAATAATGCTACATTTACATTTAATGTGAGCTGTGTCGGTGTCCCTTGTAGCTGAGAAGATGAATCAGTGGCCACTGAGCTTTGGACTCACCCAAAGTGATGCCCTGGACTGCCAGACACTGGGTGACTCTCCTGATTCTCAGAGATAAGCAGGATCACCAGTGTTTGCTGTTGCATATGGTGGGCATGAATGTTTTTGCTAAATCTCCTGCTCTTGGAGTCTTGTGATAACATAGGAATCTGTCATACAATCTATCCATTTTCTGTAAGAAAGAGTCAAGTCAGCTTTTAGTTATCTGAGAAACCCACAGAAGAAACTGAAGCCCCATGAAGCTGGTAGTCACTGTTGCTCCCAGAGCATGTATTAAATCTAGTCCAGGTTTTAAACTCATGGTTTAGAAAAATCTTTAGAAATTCAGAAATCATGATCCATTGTGCCAGTGTGCAAAAGTCTGTACTAACCACCACTACTACTGTGTTTTAATTAATTCTGGGCTGCCATAGCTGGTTAGTAAACAACCCATTTTATCAACCACAGTGAGAGTTCATTATCCAGCACTGCTCTGCAAAGAGGTCCTGTATTGAAGAAAGTGACCCGAAGTCATACTTTAGAGTAAAACAAGAGAATAAAATAAGTGTTTGGTTAGAGACCTGTGCTGAAGCCATTCACTTGGAGTTCCTGAGCTAAGATCTACAGAAATCTACTTGACCTTTAAGTCATGCCTCCTTCCTGAGCTGGAGAGAGCTCAGATGACTGAGGGAGCTGCTTCGAGGTGGCAAAAATCTATTGTGTAGACCCCAAATCCAACAGAGACCTTGTTTTGACACCTGCACTGCACAACTGTGGGGCACCAGCACAAGGGTTCCAGTAAAATTCATTAATTTCCCAGAATTACAGACAAAATGCCAGGAAATGTAAAGATGTTAAAACATATATAAAACTTTGATATCCAAGCCATTTACATCCTGTGATAGTCAAACACACCACAGTATCTGAGCTAATTAATATTGAATATTAATGTCCAGTGCTGGAGCAACTCAGAAAACCTCACTGGTGATAAGAGTGACTATTCTGTGCAGCACAATGAGAGCTGGGAGTGTGAAGAGATTTGTGTGCTCCTAATATAAAGAAAAAAAAAAGTAAAAAAAAAAAAAAGTCCCAGAAGGTTATGGAGAAAGCCACAGACTGGGAAACTTCAGAATTGGAATTTCTAGTATTTCTAGTCCTGTTGTTGGGTTTTTCTTACAGTCTTGGCGAAGTTGTTTCAGTTTTCTGCTTTTTTTTTCTCCCAGTTATCTTTACATGGTCTTGGCTATTTCTACTGTAGGTTTTCCAACACCTGGAATTATTCCTGGGACAGTACCACAGAACAATTTCTGGATACGATCTGGTTACAACAAATAAAATTCAATAGGTTCTGGTTTGTTGGCTGTTCACTATGTAACTTATCATCACCCTTAATATTTACCTACCTTATTTTCAGTTACATTCTAGTAAATAAGATATTATAATTCAATAACCAATAATCTTTTAAAAATGCATTAATGTTGAATTTGAAGGTCTCTTAAACCATTATATTCAAATGAAGGCATTTCTAGAGTAATAGCTCAAATAAAACCAAAATGAAAGTTCTCAAAATATGTTTCCAATATCCATCTCTATGCAATAAATATTATGCAAGGTGAATGGCTTCTGTCCAAAACTAACATCTCTAATCTTTTGCTAGCCAAAATACACAATATGAAAGTATGCACGGGCTCTGTTTGAATCTCACATTTGGGGCAAAGCTCAAAGTTTTCCATTCAGCCTTATCAACAGTTGTACTTTAAAAAAAACAAAAACAAAAACAAAAACAAAAAGGGGGAAGCTTATAGCACTCTGGGCTATGACCCACTTAAATTGACCAGAAACCTACACAACCTGCTGCCAAAAATAGAGCAAAGTTAAAAGGAAGTTACCTGTATTGTCCCTGGCCTTTGCAAGGAAATGGGCTGGGATGCATGATGGAAATGCTCAGTATTTCATCTTGAAATCCTGTGATTTTTGCAGTCTAGTTGCTTTTAACTTACTTTCCTGAAGTAATTGGTATGACAACAAGCAAACTGTGAATTCTGAACTCTCTCTCACTGCAGAGTCTTGCAGATTACATGGAATCATCTGCAGCTCCAGAGACCAGGCTGCAGGCTGCTGGGAAAATTACAGGGTTGTTTTCAGCCAGAATTTTACCAGTAATGTTATTATAATTATGACCAATTTCTTTTTTTCCAAGGTGAAGAAGCACTGCTTTTCCATAAAGAACAGCTTATATTGTATTTTTCTGATTTTGAGACTTCTTTTCTAAATAAGATGTTTTCATCACATAGTTTTGACTTTTGGTTTGTAGATGACTTAGCAAAAACCCCCATTATTTCAACCAAAACTCATTTTCTTGCATCCAAAGAGATTTTTATCATGTTCTGGTGGTGAAAAAATATCTACATGCCTTTTAAAACATGATAATTTTTAAGATGGCACTGTGTTTTTTTCCCCATAGGTGTTGTAAATCTCATTGCTCAAAAACAGTTGTTTGGATAGGAAGCACATTTGTCAGTGAGGGTAAGGTGTCATGACTTTTCCATCTAAGTCAGGTATCAGTCTAAAAATGGAAGAATGTTCTGTATGTCTCCAAAACATGGGTTAGTTTGATTCCTGTGGTGTTGAGCAGATTTAGGACAAGACATAATTATTTCAGCACAGAGATATCAGCTCTATCAGCACATGGTAGCAAGAGAAAGAGGAATTTGTAGATGTTTTTTGCCTCCAGGTTGTCCATGGGCATTAATACAACTGGTACAAAGGAGTTCTATAGATTAACAGGACACTACATCTTTATAATCTATAGACAGATCAAGTTCTTTTCTCATTTATGCTTGAAAAAGTTGTAGGCTTATGCTTACACAAAGTGAGGGACAGAAGAAAATAATTCCGAGTAGGATTATTCCAGACTTTAAAAGCAATTTTTTATTAAGCAAAAGGTGTCCTAATTTATGTTAGCTGGTGAATTGATCCCAGGGCAAAGAGGGAAACTGGTAATTTCCAAAGAAGTTAAATAGTTTAGTTAAAGAAAACAGGGGGAATGTAGAGGATTATCCTGACTAATGACTTACTAAGTTATGTAAAAATAACTGGTATTTTAGATTGTGGCAGCTAACGAGTTAAGAATGCATTTATTCTTCTAATGGGCACAGGCCCCAGAGAGCAGGATCTGCTTTATTCAGTGTAAGCTATGCTAATGAGATAAAAGAAGTAAAATAAAGAAGTTCAGCAGAAATGTACTTATTGGACAGTTGCTGTAAAATGTTATCGTTAAAGAAACAAAGAAAGCATTCATTCGGTGTCAGTTCAGACATTTGCAGAGTTGTCAGAAAACAAACATAGGAAATATTAATTTATCTGTTTCACCATCACTACTGATTAATAGGGATGTCATTAACATATACAACAAGAAAAATAAGTTTACCAGTCGAATAAATACATTTTTTCTTTTTCCTTTTTTTTCTTTATATGAACATGTCTATTTTACAAAACCCCATAGCACTATGGGAAATAAAGATCCTTCTACAAAAAGAAGATGTAAGTCAGTGTTACAAATAAAGCTTTAGAGTTTCAAAATGTATCTGGGCAACGAGACAAAATCAGCTAGAAGGCACTACTGAGTCACTGAGAAGGTCCAGCTTGTAACTGTTGTTGTCTTAAACTCCAATTCGTTCATAAATTATCTCTCTTCTCTATTCCAAGGGGTTGCATGTAATACTAATGTGGTCAGGAGGGCTGCAGTAGGTTCAGGAGAAAAGAAGCTATGGCCATGCAGAGAGGAAATGTTACTGATGGCCATGGAAGGCTGGCTGGGGCTGAGCTCGTGGGCTGGGGCTGGGATGGACGGTCAGGACGTGGCCTCTGATCCAGCTGGTTGGAAATCCAGATGGGAGGTTTGACTGTGATGTAGCCATTGGTTATCCTGATATAGGAAGGCAACGTGGTGGTGCTGAAAGAAAACACAAGAAAAGGAAATTAAACAAGAAAACCCTTATCTCTGCTCTGTGAGCTATCATCCCAAGTGGTAGCAACCACAATGGAAATTCCTCCTATTATTATTATTATTATTATTATTATTATTATTATTATTAATACACATCAGACACCAAGGACAGAGCCAGAGACTGATAACTGTGATGATGTGGAAACAGCTCCAATCCAGGATGTCCCTCAGCCAAAGGAGGGATTGCCCTTAATATATCTGACTTACTGCACTCCATTTTTAAGCATCCATTACTGGCCAGCATCAGAGATTGTGCTAAATGTATCCTCGTGCAGACCCAGACGATCTTGTTCTTATGTCCTTTCTTCCCACCAAAGGTCTGAAAATTTGCCATGTCCCATGACATGTCTTATTCACCACAGATCACATTCTGAGTCCAGGAGGGTCCAGAATACATCCCTTCCCTGTCTCACAAGCCTTAAAGAACTTCCCCTTACACAACTGATAACCTTGAGCACAGGAGACCTAGCAGGTTCATTTCTGTTCCTGGCTTTAAGACATTTTGGATCAAATCACAAAGCCAAAACCAGACTCAGTCACTGTTAGGTTTCCCTGACTGTGGATTTGCCTCAATAGCAGTGTGATTGCTTATTGATTGTAGCTTGAGTTAGTACTTTGATTTGAATTTGCAGGTTGGAATTCATCATGACTCCCATGACACTGGAGGTCAAAAAGGTCCATTTCCAATTGATTTGGAAGTTTAAGTTGTAATCTCCATTTCATAAAATGCCCCCATTGCATCCATTACTGGATGATCCATAATCCACCAGTTGTCAGGGAGCAGCACAACCAAGCATGCAAACTGCACAGGGTGGATTTTGGACTTAAACCCAAGACATTCTCCTGAGAAGTGAGGAGAAAAATGGCAAACTCCCCTGAAAAAAAAGATATGACACTAATACCTGTAGATTCTCTAAATCTTCCATAAAGGGGATTTGGAGGTACAGAAAATGACCCTCAAATACTTTTTTAATGGGGTAAGAAGCTAAGCAGTCCTATAAATATTTACCTACAGTATCCAAGATCTTGACCTTGGAAGAAAAAGGTTGTGCCTTGCATAATATCAGATAAAAGGAGTAACATCTTAGTTCAGATTCATGAACAGAAACAGAATTTAGAGAGACTAAGAGGCTTTTGTCTTTTTCTGTCTAAGCAATACCAAAATAGATTTTAGCTGAGATACTTCTAATGTGCTGAGTCAATCACAAACTGAGAAGATTAGAGCCCACCCTGAAGAGGGCATTGGTCGACATCAAATCCCATGGACAATCCCTGCAGATTACACTTCACCCTGAGCTTTGGGAGAAGGCATTTCTTCCCTCATCCTTTATACTGTCACCACAGCTCCTGGGTGGGATAGTTCTTCTGCAGCTAGAAGTGATCTTAACTAATGTGAAATAAATTAGAGTAAAAAGAGAAGGCAGTTCAATTAAAGGCATAGGAATTGCTTCATGGGAGCAGATAATCCATCTAACCAGTGCTAGGATTCTTACACTGAGGAGCAGTGCTTGTTCCAGAGCAACAAACTGCTGTGAACAGAGAACTCTGAAATCAAGGCTTGTTGGAGAAAGTTCTCTGAATTCCAATGGTGAGTGGTTGGTTTATGTCTTGAAGTGATGATATAAGACACCCAGCTTTAGAGTTTCTGCTCTATTGCATCACAGCTTCTGCAGTCACTGAACACAGAGAGCTGATTTGTGATAAACTAATGCTGCTGTTTCCAACGTGCCTGGCAGGAATGGCACTGGACTGGGCACTGTGTGGCCAAGCTCCTGTAACATAAGTGACATCAGCATGAACAGCCTTCCCACAGTGAACACAGTGCACCATTAAAGCAAACTCCTGGCAAAAAGAGGTACTACATGCTCTGAGTAATCCAACACAAATGCCGTCGTGCTTCAGCTTCTGATCCAGATCTCATCTATCCTGCTGAGTGATGATGTGGTGCACGGGTCTGGCAGCACTGACAGTGGGATCACAACTCGGGATTTTCCTCTATACCTGGTTTCCCTAAGCTAAGCATGGGTAGGTGTTTGTCCTCGTCTTTTGGTACTGATTGTCACGTAACAGAACCACAAAATTTTGCCCTAAATTAAATTTGAAACTACAAGGAGGATCTGATTTTAAATTTTAATGAAAAAAAATCAACAAAATGTCACAAAATTCCAGTTTGTGTTTATCCTGCTCTTGACACATTCGGTGGGCTGGATCCTCCAGTGAGTTTAAAGCTTCCCTTGCACAAACTGTCTTTCTGCTCCCCAGGGATGTTCTGTGCACAAAGGCTGGCCAAGGAACCTGTAAAAGCATCACAAGCCCACTCATCAGCCAGCTACATCTAAGGGATTCGTAAAGCAGCCTTAAATCAGCATTTTATGTTTCTGTGGGATGATTCTGTGTTCTATTCAACTTCTGTAATTGTTTTGGTTTTTTGAGGGGGATGGGGTTTTTTTTGTTGTTGTTGGTTGGCTTTTTGTTGATTTTTTTTCCTCCTTTATTCAAAGACCTGAGAATTGCTGACCACTTCTCCTTAGTTAATAAGGTTATTTTCTGTTTTCAAGACATTACATTTGTATAAAAGCATTCTTGTTAAGATAAATACTGTTAGGTGGGGTTTTGTTTGTTTTCAAAAACTCCTTGAGTACTTTAAAAGAGAAGAACAGTGTGTTTCCACTAATGTGTACAAAGCACGTTAGCAAATGAATCACAGTTTATCCACACAAAACATTTCCTTAATGTACTTTTAGCTGACTGCCAAGGTGGTTTAGAGATATTTAAAGAGAGCATTTTACCAAATGCTAGGAGTCCTTGTGAAACCTCAGGTCCCAGTTTGTAACTAGGCTGTTTCTGCAGTGAATAGGGAGAGAAACCTTTCCAGAAGCTGGTCCACCTCATTCCAGAGCAGGTCTCTAGGGGATCTTACTCTTGCTCGAGGTCTCTCACTTCTTAGGCATTACAGAGGGGCCCTGGACAGCCAGGTTGGATTATAACCTAATCTTAGAGGTGGCCCTGGTGTCAGGAGACGACTTCTGCAAACTCCCTCTGAACACATTTGCATGTGCACGTAGGATCTCACTGACCCTCGGACATTCCCTAAGGATGAAGCAGAGTCCCCTGAACTCAACCAGAAACCTTCCTTGGGAAGCATCTGAGCGTTCCTGAAATGATCATAGAGAATAATAAAAATGAATCACAGATCTGTGGGATAATAATCTAAATTATTATCACGTCTTCACTTGCCAGACCAGGATATTCTGTATTTCAGCCTTTTGTGTCTGATAAAAATATCTTTAATAAAACATTCCACATGATCTGTGGTTAACAGGCAACCACTGGCTTTGCTGTTCATACCTCTCTTTCTTGCTTCTGTGCATGGGATTGTTTTAAAAACTTGGAAGACTCCAGGTATGTTTTAGCCAAATGACCTGCGGTATCATATTCATGAGCTTGTTCTTTTGATCAGATAATAGGGCCGTTTTTCAAATCAGTGCATTACTCATACATTGTCTTACTATCATTAGAATGTGTAAAACTTTCCCCAAAAATGGGGCCTCAGGCACAGGCATTGTGCACAGATTCTACTGAACGCAATTACATGATTTAAGTCCTCTAAGCTGGGGGTATGCTGAAGCACCTTAACGATTTGGGAGCATTTTAAAGCTGAAAAATAAAGCAAACACACAAGCAACCCACTGAGGGAACTTCTGCTCTGGTTTGTCTTGTAAGGACTTTGAAGGGAGCTCACAAACTGACTTTTAGCATGACTCAGTTCACCCATGTAAGCAGGGTTCATGTGACCACACGGGACACCACAGCAGAAGGACACAGGTTAGGACCAGGAGAGTCTTTCTGGCCCAGACACAGGAACAAGATCTAAACCCCTCCTGACATTTATGTCTCATCCAGTCTCAAAAGAACCCAGTGATAATGATAGCAATTATCACTGATAATTCCAGAGTCTATCCAGACATCTATTCCAGCATTTCACCATTCTGACGCCCAGAATTACTGCCTAATGTCTCACCAAGTCTCCCTTGCTACAGTGTAAGGTCATGACTTGTCCTGTTCCCATAGACAGATTTATTCCCTTCCTCTTCTCAGCAGCCTTTCACATATTTTGGAAATTTAACCATGATTCACCTCAGCTTTCTCTTTTTTAAACAAACAATTCCTTCCACCTTTCTTTGCAAGTCCTCAAGTGCTTTCTCTCTATCCTTTCTTCTGCTCTGCCCTGGCTCTGATCCGTCTTTTCTCTGGAATGAGATGCTCCACACTGGAAAAAGTAGGTCTAGGTGAGATTCCATCAGCCCTGAGCTTGGTGCAGGAGGTACCACTGCCTCTGTATCTGCAAAGTGCATGAAAACCAGGGAATCTCCAAGAGGACAGACAATATTGGCACTGCTTTTTGCCCCCAAAGTTCAAACCACCATTATGGTCCCAGGAACTGTTCTGAAGCTCATGGAAAACTGATGGTTCTCCGAGGGGGTGAGGACCAACCCAATTATTGTGATATTTCTACCCATTTTTTAATCTGCTCCTGTGCCTTGGTCCCAACGTGGTTCCGTTCAGGGTAACCCTTTCAAGTATTACTTACAAAGTGTTTGGGGATTTTTCTGGATCAAAGGAGCTGTGTAAACACAAGACAACTATTTTTAATAAATGTAAGCAAATGTTGACTCAGACAGCCTTTCTTACAATAGCATCTGATGAAAGAAGCTAGATTGAAACCTGAAAAATGCATGTTTCAATTGAAAACCTAAAAAGCTAGTAAAGTGAAAGAAAATTTTTGAGTAAATACAATAATGACTGTTTTGCATTTGTGATTTGATGTTAACCTTATGATGGCTAGGGGTTTTCTTAAGTGATATTAAGCATATGCTTCCTGTTTCTTTTCAAACAAAATTTGCCCTACTTTTTTTTTTTCCTTTTTATTTAATGAACAGATGTGA